CTAAAACAAACTAATAAAAAGACATAATAATATATATATATATCCAACACTGTTAAGATTCGTCTTTGCTGAACAAAAGATATCTAGGAAAGCTAGAAATAATGAAATAAAGTGGAGAACTCACAAAAAGATAACCATCAACAGGAAGTTTCGATCCCACGCTGACATATCGTGCATCCCACATTGAAGGTATTCCTTTCAGTCGTGCTCGCTTAACTGCTGGTTGATCCAATAATTTCTGAAAACAGTGTACAGATTATCAGGAAATGGAAATATAGAAGGAGCAGAAAATTAGTGCGCTTATGGTTTAGAAAACTTTTTGAATTAACAAGCCACAAAGCTGTGTTTGATGTCTGAAATCCTATATCTTATATGATATCTGTTGAACGCAAATTCAATGCAAACCTTGAATTGGATTTCGTTAATTGCTTTTCTAAGAGTTGTTTTCTCGTAAATTTCTTCACCTGCAGCAGGACCACTACAGCTGGTTTTAAAGCGACCTCAAAAAGAGTATTTTCTCGAGATTTTGATATAAGGACGATTTATTTACAAAGCTATATAATAGATCGAATTTTCACCTTTTCTGAAAATATCGACATAAGGAGGGCCCAGAACCAAAGCTAACTGAGCCACAATATCATCACAATTACCCAGCAACTCGATATCAGTGGCATAATGAGGTAAAGATTCACGATTGATGAGTATCTGTGGTACTTCGGGATTAACATTGTACGGCAAAAGTGCAACTGGTTGTACTTTCAAAGATGAACCGATAACTACCACCAAGTCAGCCTAAAAAAAATAAAATCTCCTGAAAACACTAAACAAAAGCATAACCACAGTTAAGCAAATCCTTGCGGTGCGTGAGCATTTCAATTCGTAAGAAATTTACAAAAATTCCCCTTAGTTATTGTTAGCTCTTTATAACTTTAGGGAACTAAAAATACACACCTTTTCTCTGTCTTCGGCCATTTTTTCGTGGAAATCATCCGAGAGATCTTCACCGAAAAAACTATGTCAGGTTTCATGACTCCTTCCGGGTGGTTGCACACTCGACACATCGCGACACGCTGTAAACACCATGGATTATGCTTAAACAGTTTATCGAAATTATAACAAAAGAAAAAAGGAGAATATTTCTCATGAAGCTAGATATAATAAATACAATTCGTTTTTACAACATATGAACATAAACCTCGAATTAAAAATGATTAAAAAAAAAGAAAAATAATGGGAGGGTAAAGAAAAGCTGCGTTAAAGGGTACCCCAGAGTCAATATCTTCTCGAATGGCTTCGCTATCGACTTTTATACCACAGTTTCGGCAAGTCGCCGTTGCAAAAGATCCTAAATAAATAAGAAATTACCAGTAAACAAACAGAACAAAAAAACGTAATAGTTTCAGTAATAAGAATTCCCATGATTGGTTGCTAAAATCAACAATTGGAGGTACATTCTGTTAGATGTACGATGTAGAACAGTTATCTTTGACAGAATTTGGGAGTGCCAAAAGACAGTATATTTAGCTATACAATAAGAGCAACTCCGAACAGTTTCCACGATAAAGTTCATTCATCATTTGCAACGCGCAGCGACAGCGATAGGTATTTAATGCTGTTAGGAGATTTTTATAAAACAAAAATATACCATGACACTGTACAATGCGCTTGATTCCGGCTACTTGTTCCAAAGTATCAATATTTTGAGTGTAATTTCTCAGCAATTTCCCACTATCTTCGAGTGCCTTGATGAAGTAATGGCACATCGAAGCTTCATAGCGACCAGGGAATAATTCCTTGAATACGATTCATTCAATCAATGTTCAAATCTCTTGAGAAGGCATAAAGCCGGCGCTGTGAGACCGAATTCGAGGGCAAAAACTGAAGCATCATATAAATTTTACGGGTTGCCCGAAAAGTACGAAGAGAGCAAAATCTAATTGAAAAAATGAACAAGATAATACCCTAGCAAACTCGAAAAATGGTTTCGGATTTTTACTGAAGTAATTGATATCAAACATAGCAGTTGGGTCTGGAAGATCTGGATATTCGATGTGAAGTCGAGCGTATACGCCGTTTTTACTCCGAAAGTCTGGTATGCCACAGGATACAGAAACGCCAGCACCAGTCAAAACTAAGATACGACTGCACCTGGAAACGGTAGAAATCTTTGTTTTCTTTCATATAATGAAATATTTTAAACAGAATAAATTGTTAAAGTTTGTAAAGTTATCATATGAGGGACAACCTTTTAAAAAGTTCAACTGCATCATCAAATGAATTAAATTCTGGTAATTTCGTGCGTCTAGGTCGTTCACTGTATAAAATTTTCCGAATAATGCGATATAAATCTTGCTCAGAAAGATTGTCCGGTAAATCGACATGCGGCAGCAAACAGCGAACAACATCTCTAGCCGACCCACCTTAAATGAATTAATTTAGTAACATTTGCCTAAAATTATAAAGAAATTGGGCTAAATATAAGGACATCTTCTACCACACCCAACAATTACTAAAGCAATTCTAACGCGAAACATGCACTGCCCTCTACGATGAAATATAACTGCATTTGTAACAACGTGCAATAACGCTGCATTATGAGAACAACAACCACCATGAAATAATTTCATTCACTTTTTATCAATCCATACAATAAAATCCGTCACAAGTGTTTAATTAGATCTACCGAAAAGAGCAAAAATGGATTTAAGAGTAAGCTGATTATTGGGTAATGCAACATTCAAATAGGACAATTTTGAAAGATAGAATACATTTTCATATCCTAAGCTGTACTGGAAGTTTCTCATCAGAAGTGATAACATGAATTTCAGAATTGTATCATAAAATTTTCCACATGTCGGAATATACAAACAACAAATGGAAATAAGAGATGTACTTCCTGAACTTGATCACACCAAGCTTTAGTAAGGACCGAAACTAGATTCAAACGCAGGTGAGAGCTATGTGACACAATAAAACGGAAGTCTTATTTGATACAGTTAAACTCTAAGGAAAATATGATGGTGTAAATCTCACCTACAAGAACAGTTTACCAATGGAATGAACAAGTTCAAAAAGTTCAATCGTCTAAAAAAACCCATTTAAAAAATCCAGAACTGTAGCCGTGTATACGCCACTTAACTTGGATGATGAGTTTGGCCCATGAAGAGCAGATGCCAATTTACACGTCATACCCACATGAATGATAACCATTATTTTGAAGCCAAAAGAGGTTTAGAAAAGGAGGACGGGCTGTTTTTTTGAACCATTCTATCATAGTAATAATAAAAGAGCATGAAGGATTATCCCTCAAGGAGAACAGGTACTATGGATATACCCTTCCACAGGCACTATGGCCAGATGCAGTTAGTAAATGATAAAAGACTGTAATCCAGATATTTATTACTCATATTTGCATTTTGCCGAGTGCAATAAGAAAAAATCGTGACTCCGAATAAAAATTAATAAAAACTGGTAGGAATAAAAATTAAGTTACCATTCAAAGAGGGGAAAGCACCATAATTCGTGTTGTAAATATTCGTTAAATGTGTCTTAGCTCAATAAAAATTAAAAAAACTGAACTAAAAAGTGGGTGAGAATGCTGACCAGAACTACCCAAGATCTCTTAATTACATTGAGCAGTGTAAGAAGTGACAAGCAGTAACGAACAGGATCGAATAAAAATTACCCGAAGGTTATCGAGAAAATTTTCAAGAATGAAAAATCACTGTAGCTCTCAATACAGCTAATATCATACTGGACATGGAAAATACTTATAAACGTTTCTTAAAAAAAGAATGCATTTAAATAACGAATTTATGGAGCTCAACAAAAATTAAGAAAGGTAAAGGAGTACAATGTGGTTGCATAGATATAGAAATACTCTATAAAAGTGAAACTTGTAGAAGCGGTATGTATGAATTAAAGAGAGTTAGGCAAATTGGCTTTCATTATAGGAAAGGCTTATGTAAAGAAATACAAATTCTTAAACATCTTTCACTTCAAAGATACATAAGAAAAATTATTTGAAAACAGCATGCGGAAAGCGAAAAAAAATAGGTTTAAAAAAAACATTAAATAAGTAACTCACCCTCACTGCCTATTTGGTCGATAGCAGGAGAATCACCTGAATCTAGATTTGTAAATCCCTGATTTACTTGAATTTGGTTAGCAAAATTGTCAATGGGTGTGGGATTCGTAGCGGAATTGGTATGTGTATCGGTTTCAGTCCTCATATTGCCGTCTAACATAATGTTTTCACCTGAATCACTTTTCATCAGCTTCATTTTAGAAATCCTTATTCCACTGACAGTATGTAATCTTGGAGTACTTCGGATATCAATCAATTATGACATTTTTAGGATAACTCAAGTTGTCTATTACACCAGAATGAGTACGGTGCAGAGAAGAATCGAGCACCTGCAGACATTCTGCGATGACTGCCGAGAAATAAACAATATTATCAAGATAACTTACTTCCCAGCTCATTTCCGCAACAACCTGAATGCATGAATACGACACAAAATGATCTGTGAACAGCTTACCTGAAAAGACATCTGATAATGCATGCACATCACAAGAAGCAAATTAGGTCATCAGTAACATCTAACAAAGTAAAGCCAGCACAAAACTCATGCCTCCCTTAAATAACTTTTTAAGAACTTTGAAGCTGTATAGCCTATCTAAAAAGCACAACATTACGCGATATCATGCTGATAGTGAACAAACAGTTCAAACCTGTTATGGCCTCATTACTTTTTCTCACTACTTTCTTTAACTTGTCACCTTTTATTGTGTCAACTGATGTCTGCAGCGGATAGCACACAATTACTCCCCTCCCTGCCTCGCCCTCGTTACTCATGTCGAATCCCAGACCCCCTCCCCCTCAATTCCTTCCCTTACCTAAATGTGGACATGTTAAAATATTTTTACTGGTGTGCTTCACGGCCCGTTATATTTTGTCACCGAGTACCTTGATTGAGGAGGACAGTGCCACACGGGTGGTGTTGGTCGGTTAATTCAGGAGCGGATTCGATTGAGGTTTGGCGGTGCATTATCAGGTTGGTGGCTGACTTCAATTCGTGCTTGCTAGGTGGTAGTTTGTGAGGCGAAAATCCCTGATATGATCTGTTAGAATTATGAATTTCTACAGCTAGCTGTACTTGCAGTCAACGGGGAGTAATTCATAAAATTCATTTTCATGGTTGAACCCGGCAGGTAAATCCCGACGTGGTATTATAGGGATCTGCAGTTATTTTTTCACCCGCATAAACCAAATCCTTTCATATTCCACGATATGTAGCCTGTTCTGAATCACCTGTAGTAATCAGTAGATCACCATTGTACTTATCACTACATTTCTCCCCATCCCCTGAAAAAAAGTTTTTAAGGTGATTTTATACGTATCTTGACATAAGCATATGGTAAAGACCATCCTGAAAGGCATTTTAACGTTCCTGAAATTTTACAGGCACTTATTATATGTGAAAGAACATTTCATATAGTTTATCAGTAACCCTGATTCATTAGAATCCAATTAAAATCCAGTGTGACTACTGTCTACGGATGGTATCATCTGCTTTTGTAAGTTTACATATTACCCTTGACCTTTATGTAGTTCATAGGTGTATTTGTTACACATTTCATTAATTTCATTACTGGAGTTCAAGAGCGGCTGCACCTAGAGCATTATCCGCAAAATCAGTATGACCGCTTTGCTTCTTCAAGGTTCTCTCAGTTTCATAACTGGCAACGTTTGTCTTAATTCCGTATTTCTGAAGTTTGTCTGCTTACTCTAAATTCAGTTATCGAAATACATTTTGTTGCCGGTTCCATGCTCTTCACTATCTCTATTACCAAACTTGATGTGGCAGATTATTGAAAATTCTCATATACAACCATTTTCTTTCAAAAGTCTCAAAATCCTGATACAGTATTATTAATAATATCATGTTTGAAAGGCGTCACCTCGTGAAATCAAGAAATTTACAGTTATACCGTCTTCAAATATACTATATATATATATATATATACTTCGAGCCGTCATGCTTTCCCTCATCTGCACTGACGACCATAATGGCTTGCCATCGTTCTTATCGAGTTCAGAGGTATAATAATTTTTGTATAGCTTCTAAAGATTTTTTTACCATTTGCAATACAAAAACTTTTGGGCAGTTGTGTAGACGCGGCATCTCCAGCATTTGAGATTCAGAATATATTTATGGTGACTTTTCTTTGGACTTAGCGCTTTCATTTTCCTAAAACTAAAAAAAGGATTTTATTTGCCTCTGAAGGATTTTATTTTTTTTCATTGTACTATACCAGTTATACGATGTAGCTGTTCGACAGGCTCCTGGTTCAAGTCAAAACAGCAATTAAGGCAATAAAGATGGCAAACATCGCTTGAGCAGTTATTGTTATAGCGCATCATCAAAGCAGTTTTTACAGAATACAGTGAAATAATTCAGCTGCAATTGCGTTCCACTTTTTATCTTATACCCCAAGAAAATTATATACGCTTCTAATAACGGTGTGCTGCTTAAAGGGTACAAAATATGTTATTACATTCAGGATTATATTTTGATGGTTACAGCTGTGGAGGAAGCTGTTTGATTTGATTTCGTTTAGACTCTTTGTCTAGCTTCAACATTATGTCCAGCGTTGATTTCCTTATGTATCATTTTCACGCTAATTCAAAACAGTTCGTAAGTTATCCATCGTTAACGGTGTCTAATTCAGAGTTTGACGGCTGGCAATATATATGCACTTTAAAGTCGAAAAACTTTTATTATTTCGAGAACTTATGCTATCGGGAATGAACATGAAGCAAAACATCTAAAAGAAATATTCCATGAGGCGGATATAATATTTATGGAACAATGAAGCATATTGTTACTTCGGTTTACAAACCGTAAACTGAACCAATAATATGCTTTATTTGCACAGTTTGCTGCCTCAGGCCCATGGTCAAGTCCATATTTCTGCGCAGTTTATAACTATGTTCAAAGTACAGAATTTACAAGAAAGTGTTCAAGGAGGGACTGTTCCTTTGTTCCCTATTCTGTAATCTACTTCAAAGCTGGCATATATTCGCAACATGAAGGGCTAAAGCTGAAGGAATTTATTTCAACCGATAGTTTCAACGATAAGCGCTCTTCCTCAAAATTATTGGAGATAGAAAATCTCCGTATGAGAAGCGGGATGCTTAATGATACTAATTTCCGAACTTTACAAGTAAAAAAATGTAACTCATAAAATCATGGACGCAAACAACAGTCTGCAAAAAATCATTTTGGCGGAGATGAAGTTCCGTTAAAAGACCACGAATAACTCACAAACGGTAAGTTTTCAATAAACTCGTTTGTGAAAGCATGAATTATAATTCCGGAGTGGCCGTGATGAAAGACCACCGGTGACAGCACTACTTGCGCAAATAAGCTCATCCTGAGAAAACGAACATTATGCGTTTGTCAACTTATTTCCAGGGATTACTTATGGTTTTCAAAAAAATTTTCATTCACCATTCGTAGAGCTCCATAACGAACAGTCATTTATTTTCCATTTTCTTGCAAATGGCTCAAAATGCTTCAAGACCTGGGCCGCCTTGTTATAACACGTCAACAAATAACACATATTTGTATTGCACAGAAGTTACGTGCAGAAATATTTATGCTGCCGAATAATTTTGATCGGCATTTGCTTTCTCTGCTTTCATGGAACTTTGAACTGTACATTCAAAATCACAACAAGATATAACAAATACTGAATTATCCCTAAACATCAGAAGAAACGCACTGTGGTATAAACTTCTGAACTTCAAAATCTTTCCTTATTAAGAATCATCTTTCTTTTTCGAAGCATTTGATAGCGTTAACATTTCTTCATTTGTTGGACAGAAATTATCCTCAATTTCTTCAATTGTTTCTGGTAATGGTTTACTCATTGTTTCAGGTATGCAAAATATTACAACTAGACCGGCTATCAGTGAAAGACTACCGAACGGAATGATCATTGCCCAAGTTCCAAACTGCTCCACCTGTAAAAAGAAACAAATTTCTGGAATATTCAAAACGGACTTCATTTGACTACTACTTCGGTAGTTGCGCTGTTAGCACGCTATCCTTCCTTGTAAGCAAGGAAAAAAATTCTCAGGTGCCCCGTAATTTGCTTCAACCGACAGTAGATGGGAAGCAAAACACTGCTGCAGTTCCAACGGCTTATCCAATAAACTGGATTGTGATCCAGCTTCTGTATTAAAATAAGTACAAAGTGGACTAATGAGGAGTGAATTTTGAAGAGAACATACAATCCACATGACAATATAGCAAGACAGATTGGCGCCAACACGAGCAATCATCGAACAGCATCCCATTGCCAAATTACGAATCACTGTAGGATATAATTCGGGAGTAACAGTATAAATCACTGCATAGCAGCTAGTAATAGAAGCTTTTGCGATTAAAAATTGTAGGACACTAATAATCCAGTGCACTGCAATGATTTTTTAATAGGAACGGACTATCCATAACTGAGATAAAAAAATGGTGTGGTAACACTGTAAACATTTTACATCGAGCTGTTACGAAGCCAGATAAGTAGTTGCATCATAAATAGTAAACGACCGAATATTCTTAATGATCCATGATATGATATGATATGAAGAATGGCAGCACTTTATAACCGCAATGTTTTTCGCAAAAGATAGATCCTCCGAAAATCTGATTAAGTATAGATTGAAAACTGAAGAAATTCGATGTTTTCTAGAAACTGTACCTTTTGAAGGGAGAAGGAGGTTAGAAAGCATACATAATGCAGCAAGGAAGTATCCTCCGGCTAAAAGTCGTTTCCGGCCGATTCTGTCGATAAATGCAAACAACAATAAAAGAGCCGGTATTTCGGCTATACCACCGCTAATAAATGTTCCGTAGAAATCACCACCAAGAAAATCAGTTTTCATAGAAACACCATAATAAATCATCGACACAACCTGTGAGATATTGAACAAGTGAAAAAGTTGTTCACGCACTGTCCCAATCAGTTTTTCAAACCGAGCAATTCGTGAGAAACTGGATGACAGTCTATTAAATTAATATGTGGAAATTTCTGGAATTAAATCTCACTGGCCATAAGAAAAGACAAGCAAATGTACGCAGTCGTATGCGCGGTGTCCGAACAAGATCAAGATAGTTGTATTTTCTTTGTGGAGAACGATTCTGCGCAATTTTTTCCGGGAAATCAATTTGATCCCACCATTTTTCTGGCAAGCGTGCACCATTAATTTCTGCCGCACGTTTCAAAATTTTATCGGCTTCTTCATACTTATGCTGTGTCACGAGCCATCGCGCACTTTCAGGAACAATCCTGAATTTGTGGAAATTCGATATAACAACTTCATCTCTTATAACTGCACTTCCCCATTCTTTACCTTTGCCTTTCTGCAATAACTTTTTTACATACGAATTCATATTTAGAGATCTGCATTCTGTGCTCACCACCAGTAGCACATAAATATCAGTGCAGGCAACGAAATGGCGAGCTGCAGATATCGATAATCGCGAATGAAATATGCAAGACATCCCAGAAAAATTTGGCCAAATGAAAAAAATATCCCTGATATTACTGAAGCAACTTTTCTTTTCGAAGGACCAACCAATTCCATACCTGGAACAAATAATACCATCGGAACATTCCTCAAAAAAACGACTGGTAAATGAGGGACAGCAGCCTAATATTCAGAGTGATGTAACATACCAATTACAACAGCAATAACAAAAATGCCAGGATGTGCAAATCCGACAGCAGCTCGTAACAAAGCAAATGCTGTCCAAAACGGTACCACTGCCATCAAAGCACCAGATATTA